TTTGTAAAATGATATCTGGGAACTTCAAAAGGAGAAAAAAAAAATGAACGAAACATCTCTTCCCCCTTTTAAAATAGTTAGGATATGATCTACAGAGAAAGACTTGTGCCAGCCTCAGCAAAGTACAGGTTAGTAACAGCTCGGCTTCCTGAGGAACGTAAACTGCTTGGTCCTCAAAGGTCAACAGCAGATGCTTAAGGAAAAAATATATGGAAGAAAACAAATTCAGAGTGATTCTCTTTCTTGTAAGCATTCACAGCTTCTGGCAACCACTCAACACTACCTGAGTTGGAGACTGTCCCCAGACTGTGCTGTAGCAACGTATTTCACAGTTTACTTAAATGAACTATGAAAAGTACTGTGTTTGTTTTCCGTTTGACAGGCAAATATCACAATTTAGGGGGAAGATCCAATTCAGTTATGAGAATTCATTTTCACCTCTTCATCCTTTTTTAGGATTTTGTGAGATTTTCACCTCTCTCCTCCACCTTGCTAGACATCTCTTTTTCGATTGAAATCTTATTCTCTACTGTCAAACACAAGCATTATCTCACAAGGAAAATTTACTGCCTATATCTGCATCGTTCTATTAAAAAATAAATACCTCATTCCAGGATAGGTTACTCCTTTACATAAAAGTTATACATTATAAGAACTAGAGGGCAAAGAAACTACAGAGTGCAATGCAGAGGCTATCAGCTATTATTACGTGGCATTACCGCAGTGTTATTACACTAGCCTGCAGGAGAAGGGCCACGTGGCATTTAACATGCTGATTTAACACTTGCTCCCTCAATATGATCCCATTATTAGCGGTGGGGTAAGAAAATAAAATTCTGTGGTTAGAAAGGAGGGAAATGGAGCAAGGAAGACTGTACTGCATTCTGAAATTGCTGGAAGCTGGATATGTGTGTTGCTCACTTTAAATGCACCATTTTCTTCTATAATGACAAAGACCAATTATCATTGTACACATGCACATAATTGTTTATACTATGATCACACTCAAGATGAAATCTCAGAAATATTCATGAAGTCAAAGAATGGATGAAAACACACACAGTTCCTTGCCAGCAGTATTATTTTCCTAGTTTCAACTTTCAACCCATCTTTCACATTTTTAAAAATTGAAATTAAAAAGATACCTTTAGGGCAAGGACATTTAATTCTCCTTTTGGCAACAGAGCTATGAATGGCCCAACGTCTAACGTTGTTTCAGCTGTCCAGGTCTTTGGGGAGCTGAGAAAATATTTTAGAAGATGACTTTAACAAAGAATGACTGCAACTTAAATGATACTAGAATTATTCCAGCATTTAAAATGACACAAAAACATCAAAGTTATATTTATACTGTATCATATGGAAAGACAGGTACTCCCATGCAAGCATGAAGATTCATGACTATTAATATCATGCAGCATTTTCAGTGGAGTTGTCAGCGCACTCAGAGAAAGCCATCAAACATTCTAGCAGTGGAGCTCTCAGTCCCTCTCCTCAATACTCACAGCATTCTTAGCACTATAGTGTTCAAGCAAGGAGAAGTAGTTCCATTTTTAGAAAACTCCATTTACCATTTTCTCAGTTTTATCAGTATAAAGTTCAGTGTTAAATGGTATCAAAACAGAAGCGGGAACCTCATGAACAAAACTGAACCATCCCTTTTCCAATTACTTTGTCCTAAGGACCAATCTTGCTAATACTTTAACCAAACAAGACTTGCCAGTACTTGCTTATAAATTTGAATGACTTCCCATATTTAACGATTTGCAGCTTTACAGAGGCTGCTTTTCATCACTGTTGGGCAACTGTAGCTTTCACTGATGTTAACAGAAGCTGAGGGTGCTCAACATTTGTGAAAAGTCTGATTTCACTGAAAAACTCGGGTAAGTAGCTCTGTGTAGCAAGGCTCAGCTGCTAGCACTGTATTTTACAAACTTAAGCCAGAAACACAAAATAAGAGATGGAGCAACAGATTTAGATACATAACTTTATTAGCTACATATTTTTATTGTCAGTGCTATTTCCTTCATCTCTAATGCTAAGTGTGATAGAAAAGAGCTCTAATGCCTTGGAAGATCCTATTTAATTAAATATATGCAATTTCTCTTTGGAAAACAATTCTGTGGTAGGTAGTGTAACTCCTGAAATAACATGCTAAATTTTTTGTAAGTAATTCAGATCTTAAAATCAGATCTCAAATTCAGTTCTGAGTGTTGCTAGGTGTTTTGAAATACCTGTAGCTTAGCACTATGAATGTTTGGGTTATTTGATATTAATCTGACAAATGACAGCCAACCCACTTGTCTTGTGGTTGACTTAAGAAAACACCTGGACTGATAATTTTCTGCTTGAAAGACTCTAAAGAAGACAATAGTCTAACAGGCTTGTTATTGATTTATGTTCTCATAGAAAACTTTATTTGTTTTGTTGCTCCATTATCAGGGTTTTTGACTAGACAAACATTTTCTTAATAAAAAGTTATTATTCAGTACAATGTGTCATGATAATTAATGGAGGGGTAGAATCTGGTAGAAAGTATAGTTTAGAAGCTAAAACATAGCTCTAGCAAAACTATCAACATCTGTCTTATATCTGATAAATAAATAATGCCATTTTTAGTACTTTTTTATATATTCACTTCCAGTTATCCAATTACCAGAAAAATGCTGACAACTAGGGGGAAGCACTGTGGGCACACTTCACCGCAGGGATGGCTAGAGGTAGGAACGGTGTGACCAGTCTCTGTTTTCAAATGCAAGATACTTCTAAGAGATAAGGCAGGAGGGAAATTGTATATTTTTGCCAGATAGAAGATCATGTCTTTTGCATGACTGAGGCAGCAGTGTGGTTGAAATTAGCTTCACAGGCAGAGTCACTAATGACCTCTAACAGCCTGCTCACTTGGTTTTTCCTGATGGTTTAACTTTATACCCCTTTCTCTCCTCCTCTGGCTTGCTCCCACTGCCAGGACTTACATTCTTCTTAATTCCTCTCATCACACCTGGGCGCTGTGTATCCCACTCCCATCTTCCAATTCCTTGCATTTCTGCACTCTGCCAGCAACCATCTTTCTCTTGCCACCACAGAGATTCGGTTTGCCTGTCCGGTCTCAAACATCAGAGTTTCTCCCTTTTGCACATAAGTACATAAGTCAATCAGGGTGTCCCTGGGGTTATATTCTGTTCCACAGTTATCATGTTGCCCACAAGAGCAGAAATGTCATTCCAGCAGACTGAGACCCCACGCTTGGCCAGTGACAGAAGTTGCTTTGTGTTGTTTTTCACTGCACTGCTATTTGGACAAAGCAAATGCTTGGTATTTGCATGGCTGAAACATCAGCAGAAGCAAGGTGGTGTATCTAATACCTTACCCATATAACTCGAGGAGTTTGTATTTAATTTCAATCTTCTGCTCATGGCTGAGCTGTCGGCAGAGTTTGAATTGATGCAGGGCTACTGCCATTGCCTTCAGGGACATTCTGCCATGTATAGAGGCCGGAGGTAAGTGGCAGATTAGATTTCCAAGTAGGTCAACATCATATTCATCAGCAATGGATCCATTCTGAAACAAAGAGCATTTTCCTTGCAGGCAGGGCTAATCTTGGCTCCTGCCCTGTATCACTCAACTACATCAAAATACATTTAAACTCTACAACCCTTTAAGAAACAAAGGCACAACAGTTCACACTGGCAGCTTAATCTGCAGTTTTTGTCTAGAGCTACTTTATACTTTGTGCTATTACTCATACAATTGGCAATATTTAATAGGCACTTGCAACAGCTTTCAGTGTATTCTTATTAAAAATTGAATTATACATGACAGTTAATTAAAAAAGAGTCCCCTGCCACATATCCATACCCAGGTTATGACCCAGGCAGCACAGAGGTGGTGCAGCTCTGCCTGGCAGGAGGGTGCTCATGTGGCCCCTTGTGCCAAAGGGTCACAGGCTCCTGCTATCGTCAGGCTTAGCTCTGCAGGGTCTCTCAGTGCCTGATAAACATCAGGGATTATAGGACTGGTTACTGCATATATAATAGCATGCATATTCGCAACTACAGCAAAGAACTACTTTTTCCAAACTACTGAGGACTGCTGCAGCTCCCAGATAAAACACTCCTGATGGCACCACCTCACCCATGGAGCTACCTGTGCCTGCAGCTGGACAGGACCAGCAAAGGCTGGGGCAAGGGGAACAGCATTAAGCGCAAATGGGTCAGCTCTGAGCTGTCCTGAGAAGTTCACTATGGTTAACAGTGATTTCCCATGAGAACACTCATATTACCAAGTTCTGGGTAGCTCTGGGGTTACAGGGATACTTGAGGTCTACAGACATCTAATTTTTGTCAGAAATAAATTAGTAGGTTGTTAAACTGGTTATTGCTGGCCTTGGGCATGCACAATACCAAAAATCACAAATATTTCGCTCGGCCCTAAGCATAAGACTTTAACATTTTCTCCAAGCCTGGCTACAGTCTAAGCTGCTATTGCTGCTGCTGCTGCAGAATATGGATGCCATGTTATTGCCTTTGGGGCTGTCATCAGGTCACCAGCTAGGAGTTCACTGCACTAAGGCATTGCACAAGTACAGAAGAGGGGAGTTTGTGTCCGAGAGCTTGCTGTCTACCTGCAGGAGAGCACGAGGGGGATGCAGATAGGGAGGAGACTACAAGGAAGCACTGCAATGTTGTGAGGCACCACGCATGAATACAGGGAGAGAAAAAGTGAATGCAACTGCTTCCACTTAGTTAGGGATTGTCAGGGGATAATCACAAATTACTCTTTTTGCAGCTCTCCCTCCCACCACTGCTCCTCTCTCACTGTGCCTACCAGGCACTCCAGAACTTTCTGCAGGACAGCGCTCTGTTTGTGAAGACCTGGATTCACAAGATCCATCTCAGTCTTTCCCAGACGTGCAATGAAAGGGACACACGAAGAGCCTGAAACATATTCCAGATACTCAACCCTGCCGAAAGAATTGAAACAGTCTCAGAACATAAAACTGATCTTTGTGTGCCCATAACCACCCCCCATAAAGTCTGTGGTGATAGAAAAATTCAGATACAAATCTAATCTTAAATAACCAGAAACTAGGCAGACCAGGAACTTTCTTCCTTCAAGATGTGGTGGTGGGTTAAGAACAACAAGAATTTTTGGAGCAGGCTCCCTTTCCATGAACATGCAGGAATTGCTGCCAATTAAAACCAAACACAGCTGGCTGCCATCAGGAACAACAGACACCTTTGCCAGGGAAGCCCTATCCACACTCACCTCGGGCTCCGAAAGGCAGGGACACCAGGGGCTCCTGATGGCCCTCAGCAAACAACACGCAGCTGTTTGCCAGTACTTGGTGCTGCACATTGCAGCCTCTCATGTATCACAATCGTTCTATTATTATTAATTCAGTGTGTTTTTTCTTTAGTATAGATAGTGCCTTTCAAACAGAATTATTTTCTTTTCATACTTTTGATCGGATTCTTTTTTCTCAACTAAAAATGTTTCAGGTAAAAAATAATTCTCTTTCATTTTTTCCCCTCTTTCAGCTAGGGGGAAGAAAGGTTTTTCTTTTAAAAGGAGTGAATTATTAAGTGAGTAGCTGTTCAGTTCAGAATCAAGATAAAATTATAATTTATTTTTGGAGGGAAAAGGCTGGCACTAAATATTGCTTGGCCACTTACATGATAGAAAGTTTTGATTACTTACAAAAAAATATTAAAACACACTGAAATATTTATAACCACAGAGAGCATTATACTTGGGCAGTAACCCAATGGCTTTATCTTACATATTCATCCTCACAAAAAAAAAGACCAAATAACGAAACTCATAAAATAGCAACCAAAAATTGGCTATATTAAAAGATACTTGGTGTTACCAACTCTCAGATGACATGGATTTGTCTGCAATCAGTGACCACATTTTTGGTCACAAACTACTATTTGTTTGAACTACCAGTTTTGCTAGGAGTGAAGGGGTTACTTAAAAATGCTCACAAGGATTACTCGAAATGAGTGCAGTAACTCAAGATGTAATACAATACAACTTACGGAAGAACTATTAAGAATAAGGGAGGCATAGATGCATTGGAGACCTTCCAAAATTTCCAAGCCAAACAATTAACCTAAAAAAACAACAAAAAAGCTTAAGCATTTGTGATCTTGAAGAAGAATACCAATGTATTTTGTTTATTACACCTTATAAATTAGCATAGACCATGCGTATTATCTTCAGAAAGCAGCTTCATTTGACTTCTTTTACACAGCAGTTCCAAATTTTCACTTTGCAAACATCAGAGATGAAACATCCTGCATTTCGATACATGAGATCATTTATATACGTTTCCAAAACTAACATCTATTTCCAAATGGAATACTTATATTTTTAAAAAGTTAGAAGGCCTATGGAAATCTCTTGCAATTTCTAAGCAACAAATTAACTAGCAAAAATGAAACGTGTTAACAAACAAATTCATACATACAAGATTTGAATTAAATATGTTAACAGAAATTTGCACATACAAAATCCGTGAAAAAAATGAAAAAAAAAATGAACCAAATTCTAATTTACCTACAGTCTGGGTATTGAATAGCACATTTATACACACAAAGTCTTTGTTTGTTTGTTTGTTTTACCTGATATGGAGAAAGCAGATGAAGATTCTTTTCGAAGAATTTAAAATTGTTTAAGAAAAAGTCTGCTCCCATACTTTCAATGAGCTGACAAGTTACTCCTTTTACGAGCTGTCCTGTGCTGATAGAGGAAACAAAATACAATCTCTGGAATATATGAGCAGGATCAAGTCTTTACTCTCCACAGCCATGTCCCACGATAAAATTTCTATGACTACCTTTATCTTTTCTCTCTCATAATTTAAAGGCTTTGAAAGTAAAACTGTAACTAAATTGAAAAATGTTGACTGAGCCATAAAATATCCCATGGCCTGCAATGCTTTGATCCTGATTTTGGTTTTGGAGGCCCTTTCAATAAGAAAGGTGAATTGACCTGGAGTACTTAGGAATGAACGATGCTCTGTAAGTACAGAACGGTACAAAAGCACATAGTATTTACCTCAAAGTCAGTCTGACTACAAAACTAAACCTAAATCCCATGTGAAGAGAGACTATCATCCATACCTTAAGAGCTCATCAGGAGAGTTATTCTTTGACAATAATTTGTACAGATACAAAGCCTGAAATAAATAAAAAAAAGTATATGTAAAGGTAATCTTTGGCAATACCATTGAAAGACACAAAAACTGCTACAGGATTTCGGTACTTTTATTTTTCTCTGATGTACTTTAAAAGCATTTGCTGTGGTCCAACTTTACTAACCACAATGTTTCGCATTGGGTGCTGAACCTTTTTTTTCATGATAAGACTTCACTGACTGCGCTGTGGAATAGAGCTAAACATGTTCAGGACATACAACTACACACAATAATTTAGGTTTGTAGGGAACTCTGGAGATCATCTGGCCCAACCTCTAATCTCCACAGACAGAGCCAGAGGACTGCCTCTACATGCAGATGTCTAGTACACAGTACCCAGGAGAGAAAAATTTATGTGACAGTCGAAGATTTTTAAACTCAGTATATTTATACATCACTTTAAGTAATAGTGTCTCACTAGGCTCAGTGACCTTTTGTTGCTTATGTCAAGGTGTATTTGGGCTATTTCTTTCCTGTTACCTATGTTTCTCCTACACATATTTATTACACCACTTTTTCTACTTTCCCATCCTACTAAATCACAGTGGAAAGGGAAATTTATATTATTTATTTATTTATTTTACCTGGCTTCTTCTTAGTTCTTTTTCTTTCATCATTGAAGAGTTATATCCAGCATCCTTCCATAAATCAGAAAGAGATATTTCTTTAAAGAAAGCCCCTTGTATATCTGTGACTGATGAAGAAAAATCTCTAGATGCAGCTATCTAAAAATAGGAAGAGGCAAAGACATTTTAGAATTGATGTTTAGATTTACAGGATTTGTCCTTCTTTCAATTCTGTGTAACATCCTCTTAAGAGTATAAGGGAAACACATGTACGCATTAAAAATGCCACAGAACTAAGTAAGAGACAGGATCTCACGCATATTTGGTGTTCAGAAAGAATATTAGGAATATTAATCATTGAGCTTAAATCCACATCTCAATGACAACATTTTAAATCATGTTCTGTGTGTGCTTTTGCACGAACAGAACTCACTATATAATAGTGAGTTATAATTACCTTCCTGAGGATCCCTTGATGTTGTGCAGGTGATAAGTCAGACGAGTACTGGGATGTTGTGCCTCGAATAACTTGCAAAAGCTCCTTTGGGTTCATGTTGTATAATGACTGGGTGCTAATTCCAGTTACCAATGCACCCATTTGACTAATATTATAAAATGATAAAACCTAGAGAGAAAACAGAGCAGACAAAGTTTTGTGATCTAGGAATAATGGACATATCTAAAAGCAAAAGCACAAAAGTAAATAAAAAGTATACTGAACACCTAATACATTTCTTGCTCAGGACCCAGGGATGCACTTCTCTCAAATTTCTTTCAATTCTAATAAGACTGTCCAGGGAACAAACGGGACAATTTTCCCAGAGGCTCCTCCTTTGATATTTCAGAGAGGAACCTGACTCCTTTCACTACAGTGTATTTAAATATATAGTCTGGAATCTCTGAGCATGCAAATTCTGCTGCAAAGGGCAGTGACACAGACAAAACTATAAACACAACTGCCAACTGCAAATTGACATTCCCTCTGTTACTAAAGAATTATATTCGGTGTTACAGTCTTAGATGTTTTTATTTGAATTGAACAGAATGTTCAGATCACTAACAGTTTTAAGAAAGTCCCATATTGACACAAAATTATCAAAATCTATAGTTTTCATTCAGAAAAAGTAATCTCACTTTTAAAAATCAAACACAGGAAAGTTCTAACAGACATACCTTTTCATAAGAGAGATATTTACTAGCTAAAATCATAACTTGGCTTTTTGCCCATCCAGAGACTTGGTTTAATGTTGAAATAGCATTATGCACTGCTTCAGGTGACAGTGATTCCAACTGACTTGAAGTCAGTCCAACCACAGCATCTGACAGAGATCCAAGTGTATCATTCAATGTCTGGTTTTGCGTGGCAATATTCAGGAGTTGAGCCTTGAGCTGAAAGGAATAAAGAAAGCAGACAGGAAACAAAAATCTGCCAAGAACCAGTCTCCGTTATCACCCCAAACTTTAACTGGAGTTTTGGGAATAGGCATTAGCAAGCATATAACAGCCACATCCTTCACAAAAATTCTAAAGCAGAACTACACTTGTCAAAAGAATATCGAATGTGAGGAAACAAGAGTGATGAAAAGAAAAAAGCAGCTATAAAAAGCAGAAATGGACTTTTATTGCTTGCATTATATACTCAAGGACTATTTCCATTTATTTCTTAGATCCCAGGATTTTTCCACTCTTTTCTTTCTGAATTGAAGAAGTCCCTCCTCTCTGCTCAGGATTAGGTTAGGGAAGAGGAACGAAAACCGTACTCACCTTCTGAACTTCGGCCTGGAAACCTCTCAACTGGTTGCATTTAATCATTTGATGAAGTAAAGCCCGGGCCACAGCAGCATCCATCTGTTCCATGTCATCATAAAAGCAAACCAATAAACCCAGCCTACACAGAAGAAATACATTAGCTATCTTCTGAAATGCCTGAAATGACTGATGTCACTTTCAGGAGAGTGAACTACAGTATGATATACCCCACTGATTCTCAAAACCTCTGGATCTTTTCTGTTGGTGACTAATACTTTAAACTGCAGTCTTTAAAACTCCACATGGTCTGAGATTTGGTTATGAGAGCAATGCTCCACACTCTACATTCAATTAAACTCTACCCGGAAGGTTTTTGCTGTCAGCATGCAAGGCTTCCCGATTCCCCATGCCCACGGCAGGCTCTTCACAGCTGCCAGACATGACCACCCTCTGCAGAACTGGGGATACTCTGGTCTCTCCTTTGAAAAGGGCAATGGGCTGTTAAGACATCTCTAGAAGAGGCTTACTGAACTCTTATTTGGAGTCATTGGATGATTTAAGCTCTGCTTTAAGTGCTGCTTGGATTTTAAGGTAATTCATTCCTGTGTTAGAGCAGTAGCTAGAGCATCGCATAGTCTCTCATTAGCATTTCAAGTTTAAGCAACATCTGCTATATTTCACATCAAATGCAGCTCCTTATCCATGTCACAGCCAGTTATAGATATGACTGGCCCCTGTGTAGATGTTTTTGTATCATCTAACATGACTATTCAACCTTGGTTACGAGAAAACCACCCAGGCTCGTGGGCTCTGTTGTGCCAGCACAGCAGTTTTCATGTGCAAGCAGAGCCTTTACTGCAGTGTCCAGATGTTAATGAGACCAACAGCGGATATCGCTGCAGCACCATCATAAACTCATTAAAAATCTGCAGTGCAGCCTCAGCTTTTAGCACCTCTAGTCGCTCAGCAATAGCCTGCTTAGTGCAGTAACGAAATACTGTTACAGTAGCCCATCAGAATTCACAGGACGTCACCAAACTAACACACAAATCAAAGAAATACCTGTAACTGCAATTTTATAACAAATAATTACCATTTGATGCATGATCACATAGCCACCAACCGCTCTAGTTACACTACAATAATGACAGGAGTTCTGCAGCAATAAAGCAAGTTTTCCTGTTAGTTTAAAACTCCCAGGTATTCCCCAAGGAGATTAGAAATAACATCAGGCAGTGGTGGCTTGGGATTAAATACCCACATTTATATGACAGCGTAAATGTAAATGTAGACTACAGCACTTTCTTGCACATGGCTCTCACCTACTGCATATTTATGAATAAGACCTTTTTTAAAAATAAATTTTGCTAAAGCAAGTTCAGTACGGATCTGACAGCCCTAAAAACAGTTTGCTGCTTACACATATAAGAGTCACAAGCATTCAGCTGTGGCTCATCTCCAGCCCGTGCACTATTCATAAAGAATAGACAGAATTGGCTTTTTATCGGTTCACTTCTCGACCTTCCTGGTGACATACGTTGGATATGTGTGATAACTGATGTTAAACACGCTGCAGCCTGGGCAGTGTAAGATTTCCTCTTTAAATCCTGACAGTTACATGATTTCCACAAACCAACTTCAGTGATTCAGAGAGTCAAGGTGGCTTCTGTCCTGCTATCCCAGTTGTCTCACTGTACTCACTGCCCGTCACATGCCTGTTTTCCCCGTTTCTCATAGCAGGCAACAAGGCTCAGGCTGCAAATGCAAGTCAGACTTATTTGTTCTCTCCATACACAGCCAGATAGAGGAGTCTTGCCTGTAGATCGTTGAAGTGTTTCTTATATCAAATCCTGATGAGTTTATTATTTCTAGGAAAGCTCGCGCTAGGTCTGGTGTGATATCATATACTGCATCCAACTGCTTCGTTGCGTTGTCATAGCTAATGAACAGTCTTATCTGTTTAATGCAAACCAAATCATGTGTCAGGATTATGCAACTACTACATATATCTTTGACACTGCAAATTAATTAATTCCATTTATGTCACAGTGAAAGGAACAAGATAAATTTGCATGATACAGCATTTTTGAAGGCAAAGTTGAATAATGGATTTCCTGCCAAACTTTCAAATAACTTGAGGGTGACAGAGCACTGGAACAGGCTGCCCAGAGAGGTTGTGGAGTCTCCTTCTCTGGAGATCTTCCAAACCTGCTTGGATGCAGTCCTGTGCCACGTGCTCTAGGTGACCCTGCGTGTGCAGGGGGTTGGACTAGATGACCCTAGAGGTCCCTTCCAACCTTAAGCATTCTATGATTCTATGATTCCATCATGGGCCCCTCCTTTCCTCAGTACATGTCACAGAAGTCTGATACAGATAAATAATTGCACATAATTGCACATAGGGACTTTTGAATTATACAAACAGAGGAATATTTGATTAACAATTGATTTGGATTAACCTCAAACAATTAAAAATACCTAAGCTTCATACTCATGTTTTAGTTTGTGCTTATGTTCGTACTGTTTGTATCTTACAACACTTGGCAATGATACATCCAAACTTATTTCATTACTTACTTCACTGAGACTAATTTTCAGAATTTCTTCTAAAGGGAGATGGACCATGTATCTTCCCAAAATCCATAAATTTTCTGCACTGACCCAAGAAGTTGACTCATTGAATTCTGTTTTGTACAAATAAATAATCACTACAATGTTAAGAACATCACTATTTTCAAATAACATTGTACCAAGTACCTTATTATTCACATACAATTCAAAAAAAAATCTTCAAATCAGAAAAATCCTTAACACACAGAGCAGGTTAATTTCATTAACCAGTTTTTAGCGCCACATTTTTTATAAGTCCATACTTCTAAAATGAAATTAATAGTCTCTTGAATGTCTAAATTTTTCTCATATGAATTGATTAATCTTGTATGTTGTTTAATTAAAAAAGAAAAAGTATGGGATGGGAGAAATTAAATTTGATATTAAATATGGAGGAGCATTTTTAAAATCAGTTTTCCTAATCACCTACATAATTTAATAACACCAGGAAGCCACGCTACTTCATAACACTTTTATATCTCCTAGGTACTATTATTGGCGCTATCATTTATTTCAGGAATAGGCAGTACTAATAATGGAGAACATTAAAACTCAATCTTATAGCTATAAGGAAAAAATGTTGGCAAAAATATAAAATATTGCCTAACAACTAAAAATGTAATTCACTCAGCAACATTTTTCAAGGATTGAGAAGTACTTTACTAAAAATAAAGATCCAAAAATCCCTGAGAAAAAGTTAATTCGTGGACTGGGCAGGTAATTTGAGCCATAAAGACTTTGCTTTCTCCAATGCCTTGGATGCTTAGTGTGGTGATACCTCTGAACGACTCAACAACACTGATCACTCATATCTCTATTAAAATAATATCAGCAATATATTTTGCAGTTTTCAGCCTCTGAAAAATCATCCTACAAATACCAGAAACTGAAGAACTCTATTCAGTAATTGATTTTTGAAAACACAGCTCTAAGTGCCTTAGCTGAGACAACACCGTGTTCCCAGCTGCCTGTCAGATCCCATCTCTTAAGTGATATTACCTTTCGTGACTGGAGTAATAAGAGAGCGGAAGAATGCAATAGAGAGGAAAACAAAAACTGTCACAATTTAACCATGTTGACTGTGGCATTTAGGAGAAGAACAGACTTGCAGTTATCAACCCTAGTGACTGCGATTCCCCAAAGCTGTTTTGTTCTTAATAGCTGAGGAACAAAATTCAATCTTTACAGCCTCCTGTTTTTAGAAAGGCCATCAGCTCGCTTCATCTCCAAATACACTGGCATTTTTAATGCAGAACAACTGAGAAGTGCCTGAGTGACAAAGATGCTTCCTGAAGCTGTGATTCCAAGACCCTGAAAATGACAAGTCCTCACTTGCCAACGCAGTGACCAGGAAGACAGCCAAGGAAACACCACGGATATGAGGATGGATTTACTGTATCCGCCCTGCAGTCACAGCAGCAACCAGGACTCTAGAAGAGGCACAGCAGCTTTCAGCCCCTCCTTAGCTGGGTGCTCTTTTAACAACCTGGGGATGTCTGATGGGGTGAATTTCTGCCTGTGCTGCTGTGCGCCATGCAAGGACTGCATGTTTGCATCCCCGCCTGGGAAGGAGCATTAATATTGACCCAAGGCAGTGCTGCAAGCTTCGCCCCTGCGACATTACAGAACGGCAGCTGTCCCAGGAGGCAGATTTTGCCCTGCTGAAGCAAGTGGGTACTTGGCCTTTAATTCCCAGGGGAAGAAGAGGAAGAAAAGCAGGTAAAAGCCCAAGTCTCTGCTGCAGCGGCAGCTGCTGGGATGTTCTCTGCAGCCCCCTCCCCTGCCCGACGTGTTGGTGCCGCTGCAGCTCTACAGCCCCCTCGTGGAGTCCCCGCTACCCAGGCCCAGCAGAGACACAGCTGCCTAGGACACACATTAACATGGCAGACATGAAAAATATACATTAAATCGGAGGAGGTAGTAAAAATTCACTTTTTCATCATCTTGCCGCTTTTCTGAATGTGTTGTTGCCACATACAGTAGGAGCTTCTCACTTCCTGCTTTTTTCATTGTAATTTTTAAGCTCACCTATTGGCTCACCTATTGCAAGGTAAATGTATTTTTCTAGTCTGAACAAGAGTTCATGATAGCAGCACACCCGGGCAGAGTGCCTGCAGACTTCACCCCATTAAGGCCTTAGAAAAAATACTTGAGTAGAGAGACTTTGTGCCTAGCTCTGTGCAGAAAAGCAGTGGTGAAGAACAAGCATCGTTAGAGAACTGTTTGTTTTGGACAACAAACATTGTGTTTACTATATTTGGCAGAAAAGTAAGGTCTTCAAGACAACTGCTCATAAATCAGTTCTCTCTCAAATGGGGAAATAATTCAATACAATGGTCTGACCGTTTGCTGACTGTCTTTCTGTTATTGTACATAAACAAGAAGGAAATATTTTGCATATAACATACCACTGGTGTTATAGGATTTTTGTAGAATCTGCTTCATCCAGCCATACAAAGCTTTCTGTGTATTTGCTGAAGTTTTGTCATACAGGTCCTTGAATATTGCTGATCTAAGTGATACAATGGGATATGAATTCAATAATGAGGAAACTTTTTCTTAAAATGATACACAGGAACAAAAATTTTTAGAAACAGCAACATATAAACAGAAAGTTCTATCTGCAGAACAGGTACAGACACCATGTAGTAACCTCCTTTTATAAGGATATACAAGCAGTAAATGCTACAAATTATTAATTGTGCTAACTGGAAAATAAAGGGCTTACAAGTTTCTGAAAGCATCCTCCTGCAGGTCTTTTGGGAGGCTCCCAACGACAGCGGGTTGGAGATAGTGCACTGCTGACACACGCAGCACCTGGCTCAGGATATCCACACACTCCATAGCACTCAAAGCCAGGAAACATTTTTCCAATGTTATAAGGAACAAGGTCCTGTTTACTCCTGGGCTTTGAAAAACATTCTCTCTAATCTTATCCAAATCAAGAATAATACTTCCCAATTCCTGTAAGCAACAAACAGTTAAAATAATGCAAACTGATTAATTCAATTGTTCATTGTGAATCCTGACAAAAAGCACTGTATAAACAACAAGGTGCTATTCTGAAGAACAACTACAAACTACTGTCCAGCTACATTACTTCAGATAATTCATTTCTGCTGTTGACCAGAGACCAGCTTGAATCTTTTAACAAAATCAAAATGAAAAGCAGAAAAAGTACCCAAATGGCTGAAGTTATATTGTATGCTCTCATGAAAGATTTAGATAATTGGAAAAATGAAAGGCCTGCAGAATAAAATGGATATTATTTCATATATAATTTAATACACAGATATCTCTGGAAAAGACTTTTTCCCATGCAGTATTTCTCGCAGCGATTACTACAAACACACCTCCAGAAGGCTGGGCAATATTAAAGAAACAACCCAAAGGAATAAAGTCGCCCTGGCTGAAGATGAATGATTGGGCTGTTCTCCATCTCACAAGTCAACATGCCCAGGACATGCTCAGGGCTGGTAGCTCCAGGTCTGATGATCTGTTACTCCTATATAATCCAGCCTGGAAGGCTTTGGGAATACCACATAGGAGGGGAGTTCACAGTTCATGGACAGGACACATGAGCTGCTGACCTGGTTCCCTCTCCCGTGCACTCTGGCACTGGGGAACACACAATACTTGTTCTGGGCAGGCACCTCCTATGCTCAGGAAAACATCCTCTGCTTCCCCCAGATTAATCTCCATCCTCCAAATATATCTGTGTTGATGGGATCCTGGAATCAAATCCATGCCGGCAGTGAACAGCGCACAACATGCCCCGTGATCCCCTCAGCCTGACCTGCTCCTGCTTATCCAAGCTCCCGGGAACAGCTGTTTTTGCACAGTGCAATGTGACTTACCAGGCGGTCCTTCCTGCTGTTGAAGAGATATTTCATTGCAGTCTGAAACTGCTGCTGGTCAAGCTGTTGAAATTCAGATAGCAGTTGCCTAGGCTGGTATAAAAGGGACTTCAGGTAACTACTTATGGACATCTGAAGTATAGAAAAAAATAATATAAATAGAACTCATGGCATTCTCCTGGGGGTATCCTTTATTGCCTAAGAATCTCTGTTTAAGGAGGCAGAAGTGCTAGACTTCCTGTGCTGCCTATGTTGTCAATGACTAGAACAGCTATAGTCAACACAAACAGTTAATAAAAATAATTTACATTTAATGCTGAGAGATAAAAACTTTGAAATCCTACTTCTGGCTTCATGAGCAAGTTCCATCAACAGAAATTCCTTAGTTTCTCCCTTCATAAAAACAATAATAGTGCTTTTCTGCCTCATAGCAGAGCTGTGAAAACAAACTTTTGAAAGTCCTCTAAAAATCACGTATGCTCTCCATACTATTATCACCTTAATTTTGAAAAAAAACCATGAAACTAGATTGGGTAGAAAGTCTGTACCTAGGCATAAGTCCAAAATAGACTCTCTCACATCAAACTGCATTACCTGTTAACTACCTAGTGCCTGTTTTCAAACAGGGAAAATATAATGCCCACCAGAGGAGAAGCAAAAGGGTTTCTTTTCTTATTATTTAGTCTTTGAATACTGCTGCAGTCTTAGGGAAAAAAAAAAGACACTGCTCCAATTTCATAATTAGCTGCTTTGTTATAAAAAAATCTATTAGTTATCTCTATTACTCTATTACCTGTTTTGGCAGGTTATATTTTTCAGTCTTTATTTCATAAGAATTCTGATGTATTTTAAATGGTACACACCTGTAAGCTGCTAAGACTAAGCATAACTTCTTGGGCATGAAAATATGCCATGACTTTTGCAAGCATATCTGCTGTCCAGACATTAGAACTGCAAAGGAAAACAGGAGCAAAAATGCCAATAAAATAATACAACATGTAAAATAGTAGACTACAAGGCAAAAATGAGAATATGAGAAGCACTGTAGCACCATAATGATATAAGTATTTACAACGATCTCAGTTTTCCAAATTGTCACTATCAGCACCACCTCCAGCCCTGAGACAAGCTCTGCTGTGGCTAGGGCAGCACATGTCCTGGCATCTCCTCATGCCCTTTGTGACTTGCAGTGAGACTGTACAGTGACTAATTTCTGCTGCCTTTCTCTCAGTGTTTCTTCTTTACCCAACTATTGATTTTCTCAAAATACTTAGGAATGGACCTGCCTCTGTGGCTCGTCCTACTCTTTCAAGTTTAGACAAAATCAGCAAATAATTCAGAAAGAAGATGATCAGACAGCTGGAACTACAGCTCATTTTCTTAAGAAGCTTTTCTAAAGCCTAAGAGGAGAGGTAATTATCAAAGCTTGTGAAAATTGTAGCTTGCATTTATTCTTAGCCTCATTCTGTGTATTCTTTTTGCATTATCACAAAGCCAGGTTATTCATGTTAAAGGCCAAATACTTCTCACAGCAGATCAAAATCAAAGTAATCATATACGCCAATTTCATTCTATCCATAATGTTCCAATACCGTGGAAATGAATCTAATCAATTTGAAGTGTGAGATAATACTGAAAATTAAGATGGTAAGAGTAATACATTACCTCTGAAAATGAAGTATATCAAGGAGAGCTATGCATAAAAAATTGAACAGAGAGAGTTATTGTGAGACACTGAGTTTTAATTCCTTTTAGTAGCATACGTAGGAGCAATTTTATACATTACCATTCAGATATTTTCCAGTTATTACTTCTTCCTAACGAACAAAAATGATAAGTATAGGTAATAACATATATAGCTTTAGATTATATTATAAAATGTTATTAAAGAGATCAAATAAAAATACTAACCACAGCTTTCTGTAATAATGGAGGCAAACCTGTAAAAGATTATCCCGTTAATAAAACTCATTTAATGCTTTACCATCAGAAAGTATTAAACAAAAGTATATAGATTGTATTCAGTGATTAAAGCAATAAGTACACAGATTTAATTCAGTACAGTTTGGATTAAATGCATTTACAAGAAAAAAACTGTGAAAATAAAGGCTATTAAACAATAAGCAATGTTTGCCACATTCCTTGCCAGCATAGCTCGATGAAGTCATGAGAGCAGAGAATATGGTCCTAGTTATTAAACAGTACTGTATCTATTTTACTACACACAGGTTTTTCAGTTCACACAAATTATATCCCTCATATAAGATTTCTGATCTTACCTTCAGGGTTCTGACTGTGTGTAATCTCAGCATGATTCATTAATATCAATAAGAACCATATCTTCAAAAGACTGAACATTTCTTCTAGAGTTTATTAAAATCAGAAGATATTTGGATCAAAAAGGAAAAGAAAAAGAACAAAGTCAAAAGGCAATATCCACCTAAAACTTGCATAGTTATAAATCAGAGACAGGCTAAGATGCTGAGCAGAGACTAAGATCAGAGTGATCTAAAGATGCTTGCTCTCAACTTTCAAATTTAGATCTTTTTTCCAGGACAGAGATATACTTTAAGCAAATACAGGCCCACTAAGCACGTACGTGCAGCCAGGCTTCCTTCCTTCTCACGAAGTAGCTCTTTTAATTTTACTTTTAATAGCACCATTTATTTGCTAAGCCATTATCCAACTAAACGTTGGCTTTAAAAACAGTTTAGTTAAAGAAAAAAAAATTTTTAAGTAGAGATGAAATAAAGAAACAGGCAGAGGGGGTGAACAAGGAAATAGCAAAGAAAGGCCAAACAAACCCTAAACCTTTCGTAGGATGTTATGTTGCCCGCATGTGCAGAAGAGGTTTGCAGGGGGCCACCCTGAAATGCAGCCCACGAGAGGATGCTGCAGCGCAGCGGGAAGGGAAAGGAAGAAACATCCTTGTGCAGAGAGAAGGGAGCATGTGGGAAGCCACGTTCAAAAGCACCCGGCTCCATTTGCACGGATCTCAGCGCTGCTCCTTGCACTTTGAGGAGAGCACCACCAACTTTTCACTATCAATTAGGACCTAGCTCTTACACATTGTAGTAGCTTTTACTACCCCACTCTGCTGTGCACTGTGGCACAAAGATCACTGAGGGACAAACAGCTGGATGGGCAGCAAATGAGACACCCAGAGCTACTTTAATGCATGCTGCCTCCACTTACTGGAGAGAGGACTTTCTGCCTCAGGAACCCCAGCTTGGCACCCAGCCCAGCAGCGAGGGTCACCATGGCCACAGGTAAAATACGAATTGATTGTAGATGCTTGAGGATGCTCTGTGCTACAGACTAGAGCTTTTTGCATCAAGAGTAGTCCCCAATTTTAACAAATGACACCACGGGCCTTGTCAGCAAACTTTGCTCTGAGCCCGAGATCACTGTGTTAGGATTTCTTCTCCTTTCCTTCGTTTCAGGGGCTCATCTGTAGCCACATTTAATTTTTTTGGTTGTTGAATTTGGAACTATTCACTTTTTTTTTTTTAATTTTTTTCTTTTCCCTCTGGCATAGACAGAGCTATAGATTTGGACATCTGATAAATGCAAACGCCTTTTTTAGATCACACGTACCGGCAAGTTATCTTTTTCTCAAAAAAAATCTTTTCAACAGCCTCTAGCAATGCTTTAGTCTAATCCAAATCTGTGGTCCTACTCTTACACCAGGAACAATTCAAACTGGCGGATGATGGAAAATTTAAACATGAGCCTTTAAGAAGTTACTGCCTCTGCCCTGTTCTTGCCTGCACTGAAACCCTTTTCAGCTGTTCTTTTTGGAGTGCCACAGTGCATGTCCCCCATTCAGACGTATCTGGTTTCTTAGACAATGAACTTTTTTGTGTTTTCTGCCTTTGCCCTGTTAATTTTGCAGAAAGGTTTGATTACTCCACACAGCTTAAATCCTACCACCAGAGTCCATACCACCAAATTTTAATTAAAGCATACTAAATTAACATATAAGGAGATTAAATCCTAAGGAAACTGGTGCTTCATCCTGGCCAAGTGCAATAGGCAAGCACCAGGTGCAGAGGAAATTTGCTGTGGAATAACCCTGTTCGATAAGACGAACTGCAGGATGAAGTATTTCCTTTTGCCAGCAAAACAAGCCCATTTGCAAAAGTTCACAGGAACTCTTAGGCACTCCCAAACCCTTCGGTGGCTCTGCACTCCCCAGAGCTGTCTCCGCGAGCCTGCCCAGCGCCAGCATCGCAGCCACTTCTCCCCGACCTCCCTCGCAGGCTGGTTTGGTTAAGGGGAGCTCCTGGGCCGCCCTCTCTGCCTGTTCCCTAAACACACTTTTCCATGTAAAGAAACCCTAGACTCCGTATCTCTGGCTCCTTCGAGAGCCAGGCCTTATCTGTAGCCCGATAAGCATAGAGCTTCCCTCACAACCAGAAGCTGCCTGATAACCCCACGCGCTGCAGCTGCCCGTCCTCCCCCTCACAGCCGGGCTCTCCAGGCAGCGTGGAAGCCCGCAGGGCTCGGGCTGGAGAGGGAGGGAGAAGTGCCGGTCCTTGTGGCACGCGTGGGGAGAGCCGGGGCCGCGGGCTCCTTACATGCCTCGGCTGCTCCGCCCGCAGCCAGAGGCGGGGGCAGCAGCCAGGGCTTCCACAGGGATCAGGGGAGCCGCCCGGGGCCACCAGCAAGGCCAGCCCGGCCCTCCCAGCCCCCCACTCCAAGCCCTGACGCCCAGGTTTCCTAAAGCAGAAGAGGAACTAACTGTACCTGGGGTCACCCTGCAAAAGGGGGCTGCGGTTTCTGGGAGACGAAGCTCTTCCAACTTTGTGTTGAAAGTTTCCGACTAAATCAGGCCCCTGCACAGCATCTTTCTCCTGCGCTGCAACACATCCAGTGCCACCTCGACAGAACAGAGGGGTTAGTTACTCTCCAGGGCAAAACACGGCACACCAGTGAGATCCCCGAGACGTGACTTAGTACTGTCACCCCTGGCAAGACGGGTAGCAGACCCAAAGCAAGCACTTGCCTCCTTGGATGTACCTTAAAATCATTCCAGGTTATTTAAGCAACTGTTGGACTGAAAAGTCTTTGCTGGGGCTGTCAATGCAGACACTAACTGCACTCAAATATGTGCTCAAAGGCTTGAAAGGGAAAGAAGCCTCTTTTCTATCACCTTCAGGCAGGCTGCTCCTCCTTCGCCAGGATTGATATTGTGACACACACTAGTGCCTGTGTACATACGGTCCCACAGGGCCACTTCATACATTCAACAGGCCCAAGCAGATGTTTTGAGAACGGGGCCAGACACAAAATGCTTCTAGTTTTACTTAAAATACAGCAAGGAAATCAGCAGCTGGGCAGATTTTCCATCACACTACAGGACAAAGCTACTATACTATAAAGATTTGTACTTTCTGTGCTCTATATTGTACTCGGTCGTGAGACCGTGCACGTAACGACCATATTATGTATAGGAAAATACAACAAAATTAGCATAGAATATTAAAACCAGAATGACACTGTTTTGATTAATACCTATTCCTGTAATATTTGTAGTCCCTAAACTGTGCCTCATAACCAAAAGATAACATGACTAGGTAAGGATGTTTTTTATAAGGGCCTGGAAAGTTTCCGCCCACAGCTACCAAGGGACTGTCACCGTGCGCGTCCTGCAGAAACAGAGGCACTGCCCAGGGCCTTCTGAGGACACTTCTGTATTTGTAAAGTACCTTAGTGAAGGTACTTTGTACCCTGTACCTTTTTCAATTTTTTACAAGGTATTTTGTACTAGTGCAGCCCCTTAAATTTAGTTTTATTCTCTTCACAGCTTTGTCCTGCTATCGCTCATGTTTTGTTAAGCATTTCAATTCCTCAAGTGTAAAAACACTCGTGTAAACACAGGCAACAAAAGATTAAATCTTAAGAGTTAGTGATGTTGCACCTTCTGACCCAAAGCTCTCAAAGCTGTTACAACTCGAAGTCCTAAATGACAGAATTGAAAAAATATTTAAGACACAAAATGCATAACCTCTTGTGTGATTCTGAACTGTAAGAATTTCTAATCTTCAAATATATACATATTGTATACAGTTGTATTCATCAATACCCATTTACTACATGAAGCTAAATTCATTAGACATGAAGGTAGCAAAACAAAAACAAGAGGACTCCAAGAGCACTCCAAAATATACACAGCTCTTTTTTTCCCAGTGGTAAATCTGAATATGTCAAAATTAAAGAGCCAATGCTGAAATGAGAATACTACTAAGCCTGAAATTACTGTTGGAAAAGATTAAAAAAAATAGAAAGAAGAAAAAAAGAAAAGTCAAATCACTCATACTACAAAACATTTGCCATTTAACAAAGGCAACTAAGAATAAAAGGTTATTAAATTTGTAAGATAAATCACTAAGCACAGGCAAAGGAAGTTTAAAACAAACATAAAAAGCCCAGCGTAAATATCCTACTTAGCAAAAGATCATCAATCATTAAAAAAAAACTTGGAAACCTCAAAAGCAAAAGGTAAGTCATAACTTTACTTACCAGTCAATATCCAAGCTAAGGTTTCCTGCTCTCTCACATCACTTAAATCCCAAGCGATGTGACACACACAGCTGCCACTTCTGTACTGGTGACACGGCAAGCTGTTTTAATGGAAGGTTATATCCCCAGTACCAGAAATTAGCCATTTTAAACAAGGGTTTAAAATATGCAACATTAAAATAAATAATGTTTAGTTAGTGCAGGAAAACAGCTAGGAGAGGGAATTGTCCCAGGCTATTTAAACATAGCCAGGACAATCAGGTTCTCATATCAGGATCCTCAGAGGCAGCTTAACTTGCAAAAAACATGAGAAACTGCTTCTGAGTTATTTAACCTGGAAAAATTTTGGGAACAGCTTGATCAGCTTGGAAAGTTTGTTATCAAACCCATCAGCATCAAATACAGTTTTGGCAAGTTCCACCCTAACTCCTTTAGCTGGAAAATGTATACAAAAGCAATGAGGATTTATGAGGCTTTGAGAGGAGCATGAAGGAAATCCAACCAAAAGTGACATTTTTTTGTGTATCCCTTTAAACAATATTTAAATGCTGCTTAAATAAACTCAAAGTTGTGCTGCAACTGAGAGCTTTTTTCAACACAAAGAGCAGTTACTAAGACAAGCGTGGCTATGATTACAAAAATAAACACAAAAGTTAATGCAAAAAGTCATCTCAAAAAAAGTTTATTAGCATGATTAAAAACATATGAAGAATGACAGTAAGAGAGAAAGTAACTTAGCATGGAAGAATATCCATTTCAACAGCTTATATTCCACAAGGTTTGACAACTTTATTGCCAAATTTCTCTTGATTTAACAACAATTCACATTGTATCGATTTCCTCATTATTAGGACTATCGCTTTGTTTGGATCTGATTCCTGTTGCAGGTAAGTATAAAAATATCCTCCATTATTGTTGGATTGAAGAATGTTGGGTTAAGAGCTGATAAAAAAGAAATTCTCAACCAAAGAGTCTGTTTAAAAGACAAATCTTTTTTTTTTTCTTTTCTCTAATCATACTACAAAGAAATACATTAGTATTTTGGTCTTTAAATTTCTTACATGATATTTATTTAGCATGGCAATCCCCAGATTCCCTCCCTTTAAGTAACTGTAACCATAAATCAAACACCTCTTTCAGAGGCTGCTTCTTGGGTTTGATTCTGGTGATTTACTTCATATATGCTTACACTGGCTTGAGGACGAAGACAGCATCATCTAGTACATAGTAGTCATTATACATATCACCTTCACATAGGTAGGGCAGTCTGGTGAAAGCCTCTATGGCAAAACCAGCTTTACTGAAAACTTCTGGCAGGCTATTCACCTGTTCTTCCCAAGTGTGCCCTTTGATTTCCAAAACTTCTGAGGGCTTTTCCCACTTGCCACCTACTGAGAAAACAAAACAGTGGTGTTTAAATTATAAAGAAAGCTTTATTGGGTATTGCATTTTCTTACAGAAAGCATAATGCACAGATTATATTCCATTCCACTCCAACTTTGAGTTTGATGGGTCATTCATAAAGATGTTGTAAGACCAGTTCAAGAGTTTTTCTAGAGTTCAGAAGAGGCTCCTTCTCAAGGCTACATTTTGTTATATTTTTCACTAGCAGCTCCAAGATTGGCTGAAAAGTAACTTCCAATAGAGAGGTTAGCATTTAGCAGATATGGACAGAGAGACTATTTAATCTAGATCTTTCCCAACATTATAATATCCGTTTTTTTTCTCCTCTTTATGCTTACTGCCTTGCAAAGATTGCTTCAGGTATTTATAGCAAACACAGATAGCAAGCTGAAAATCATGACTTGTTGTAATGCTCTCATTGGCAGACCATCCCATTAGTTAGATGAGGGACAGCTAGAAAACCTTTGCTCCTTCAAGATGCACTTATTAGCTGATACAGTAAAGACAGCTTAGGCCCTCTCAAAGCTGAATGCTTGTATTACATTGGAAAACAGGTCGTCCTTTATAACCAGTGAAATAATCTTAAGAAGTAGAGTTATGATTCACCAAAGTTAAAAAACAAAAATAACCCTTCACTCGCTGTCAATGCAGTATCATCCATAAATAAGAAAACTGTTTTCTGGTTAGGTGTGTACCTTTAACAAGTTTGCAAAATGCAACAGTAAACGCCCCTTCAAAACAGGAAGCTCTAAATCTCATGATTCAGAACATTCTGCAACTCCAAAGATTTCTCAAGTTCCTCTTCATTTAAGCATAATCACTTCCAGAGAGACACCAAAAATGTTCAACAAATTCAAGAAAGCGCTAATCCTGGCATTCAACTGGATTCTATACGCTGTTGGTAAGAACTCTAAGCTTTCTGTATTATCCCTGCAAACTACAAGTTAAATAGGATTTAAAATATAGTGGTTACAATTTGCCACATAGCTATAAAGTAAGAACAGTAAAAAGCTTTTCTTTAATAAGTTCTGCTGTCTTCATACAACTTCCAAATCAAGTGACTGTTATGCTTTTTCTTCCAAGTCTGCAATGCTCCTGTAATCTATGAAACAGAATGCTCCAGCAGCAGAACGGTCTCCGTGTAGCTATGCTTTTTGAGAGAAGGGTTTGGGGAGTCCAGCAGATGCATCTAAATTCATCTGAGCCACGATGCTCACTCTGTAAGGCCACCCAGAGCCCTAGAGTTAGGGGGAAAGGAGAAGGGGAGCGACGAGCTGCAGGCGTACAAGTGACTGCCGGTTGTCACAGAGGGTGTGAGGACACTGGCAACACGGACTGCTACAGGCTTGGGATTGCAGCAACAGCTCTGATGTTCATCTGGCACAAAAACAATTTCATTTCATTCCAGTAGAAGTCACGTACACCGAATCTACTTAGATTTGGCCCACAAAACGTTTAGTGAGAAAAGCAATGAAGGGATAGTGCTATTTGTCTACAGTGGACAGATTTACAAATTATCAGCAGTAGAATAGGACACATTTCCATTTATTTTTCTAATAATTTGTTATTGTCTGGAAAGTACAAAAAGATTCTGTTAAACCGCGATGTTAATTTTCACTGCATGATTTTGATTCCTTTGTTTCCATAACTTAGCAACTTACTTGAACAGAATTAAATATGCTAAAAAACAATATTGAAGTTAAAGATTTCAATAAGGACTTCATGAAAAACAGTCTCACAAAACAGTCATCTTTAAACCAGAAGCTTGCAAGTTACATAGCATTTCAGTTCTTTAATTAGGATTCTCTTCTCTGATTAACCTTTCTTTCTCTACATACATTTTTAAATGTCAGAACTAACAAGCAATATTGTTATCTTTAGAAACCTCGAGTCAGTAAGCATGATGAAGTAGGTCAAAAATTATTATGAAGGCCAGTGTTATGAAATTGCTAACTTATAAATTTATGTCTCCATGTAAGCCACAAACACCGCCTGCCATCAGGCTGTTTCACTTCACTTCCAGAACAGAAATAGTGGGGGAGATAGAAACCCTTCGTAATTTCACATTCAAGTAAAAACATCTTAAGACAATAGGTCAGGTGGAGACTGGAGATGGAGAACTTCTCTGCAGAGCATCAAGCTTAAGGCAGCTGAATGCTCTCAACTCAGAGCACATAAAGGTAGAAAAGATCAACTCCCCACTGCTCTTGATACTAACTATCAAAGCAGGAAAATGTGTGCATGCAAATAAATCAGAATCCTGTTTAATAATAAAATTACCTAAGGAAGGGAACTGTAAGAAAACCATTTTTCTGCACAGCTGGGGCTTGCTTCTTAAACAGTCTTTTGAACTACTCATTTTATGGCATTTTCAGGGCAAGATCCAACAAGAATTTGCAGCAAGTTTTGCTTGTTGTGAGGATAGATAATAGTTTGACAAACTAAAAAGTCTTCAGACTAAAACAAAAAACAAACAAACAAAAACCACTCCAGACTACAGAATCTGGGCATGGAAGTACACAAACTATTCTTTTGCTCTGCTCCAAGGTCAAAGGAGTCATCTACATAATTTTACACATATGAATCTTCTGTATTCTTTTCCTGAGGTGGACAGTATATATATGCCACATATATATATAAAATTGTTAAATGATCAAACAGGTAAGCTGTAGGAGCAATTTGAGAGGAAATACTGTTAAAAATAACTTGGGAAATTCCACACTTGAAACAAAGTTCTCTGCCTTCCTCTTGCCTTTTCCAGCATAAGCCCCAAGTAGCTTATTTTCTTTTTTGACTCTGCCTTGCTTTTTACAATCCCTCACATCAAAATCTGCTTATTCCCAACAGGAGATACCAATACCTGCCAAGTCAATGTAACACAACCCAGGTACAAGGAAATTGGGGAATCCGTGAACACTGTGACCCTGACGTGCACGTTCTCTGCTCTGGGATGCTCCTCATCTGAGCCTCAAGCTCTATGGTTTCGCTTTTTTACTAACAGACATGAAGATCTGTGTACCCCAAAATGCACAGATGTTCACAAGTTCAAAGTACACATATCGCCAAAAAATGTTTCACTTCAGATAAGTAGTCTGTCCACAAATGACAGTGCTGTCTACTTCTGTGGAATTGCATTTTCAGATTCAAGTTCACCCCGTTCTAAGCAAATGGGAGGCGGGACCATGTTAGTGAAAACAGGTCAGTTAATTGTTTCTTCTTAATGAAGCATCTTAAAGAAATACATTTTCTTTCCTAAACGCCTTTTTATTTGCTCTTTCAAGCATGGCATTTAAGATTGGACTATCAACAACAGCGTTATGAGTAGCAGGTTTTTAATGAAACATTGAAAAATTACAGAGGGCTTCTCTAAGAAGAAAGTTTAGGTATTTTCTACAAGAGAAGTTTTCGACTCTGTTACCTAACCCTACTCCACATCCTCCAGTACAAAGACTGCAAGGGCTACAGAAAGGAAGTATCAACAGAAAAATGAGAAGTAGAGAAAGGGACATTTAGAGGAAACATGTCCAACAGAGTACAGGGCTCAGAACAGCAGACTCGCTCACCATCCTAAGCGAAGAGTTTCAGTGCTGTACGGCCATCTCATTTGTCATACAGTTTACAAGAGTAATAAGCCTTCCACTAAATACATTTCAGTATCACATACTTAAGAAAAAGGGGTAGCTGGACTATTATTTTCCCTTTATTCATTCCTTCCCCTGTCTAATCACACTTCTGAACAAAAACCTATAATAAGTTTTATTCAGATAGTCCTTCAAGAGTGGAAAAATACGATTTTCATCTCTGCTTACCACTCAAGAAAGGTTTCCATAATCAGAAATCATGAGTCTCCTTTGCTGTTGCAAATGTCCAGGGAAACAAGAGAAAGGGGATCTCACTAAGGAATTTAGGCAGAAAATGAACTAGAAGATATAGATGGTTAATAAAGATTTTTAATTCTTTAAAGGGGATTGGAATGTAAAGTCCTAGGAAAGTTACACGTGTTAGAAGAACTGTGCATTATTCTAACACTTATTTTCCATAAAGGGGCTGAGAAGCACAGTACTGGAAGTCTTACTTTCATGATCATCACCTTATCCTTACTGCTTCCGTACAGCATTGTGGTATTCACAATCCTTATACTTCATAAGGTAGGTTTAAACTGATGTTCCTGTTCCCTCTCGCCTCTCTCTCTCTTTCTCTCTTTCATGGAGCTTTAACATTTTCATAAGGAGAGGGGAAAAAAAAAATTCATAACTTTTACAATTAAGTTTCAAAGGGACAAGGGTTTGAAGGTAACACTGTACCCATTGGCAAATTTTAGCACACAGCACATACCACTCACTACTCTTAATAGCATCACATTTTCTTATTTAAATGAAGTCTATAAAAGAAAAGGTATTTTAAAGCCAGAATTATCTTGAAAGTATTATTCAGCAGGTTGGAGACTCAGATTATGAAAGCATACTTAAGAGCTAAGCTAGAAATTATTATCATAGAATCATAGAATGCTGAAGGTTGGAAGGGACCTCTAGGGTCATCTAGTCCAACCCCCCTGCACACGCAGGGTCACCTAGAGCACGTGGCACAGGACTGCGTCCAAGCGGGTTTGGAAGATCTCCAGAGAAGGAGACTCCACAACCTCTCTGGGCAGCCTGTTCCAGTGCTCTGTCACCCTCATGGTTAAGAAATTCTGGATTAGGTTCCATTATTAGTAAATGAATTTAAATTTCATGACAAGATATTTGCAAGGTGCAGTAAAGTTATTGCAAACTGAATTTTCTTGGATAATGACATTGTGATCAACTGGAGATTAGGAAAAAGTTTTTCCTATTGAAAACACACATATTGAAGTTTCTGGTTAAAAGTTACATTAAACATTTAAGGCTTACTCTTTGCTAGAACAGAAATGCTGTTGAGTTAAAAACAAACAGACAAAAGTGCAGTTGGAATCTTTAATGAGAATTTTAAAACTTTGTGTATTTGTTATGTTTTCTTTCAATGAGGCAAAGTAGCATGGGGGAAAACTTAAACTGTTCTTCAGAAAAAAAAAATCAATTACACAATTGGTTTCTTTTGAAATTTGAATAAAAGATAAAACTTTTATCTACAGATCTCTCTGTCCTTACAGTGCACAGCTTTTGGGTCGGCTAGTCTTTTAGGAACTGGCATTTACCTTATGTTTTAACTTTTTTCATTCTACCTCCCTCCAGCTAAGGCCAAAACTGCTGAAGAAAAACAGCAAAGCAGACCACAGAACAGAGAACTGTGTATGTTGTCACCGTTTCCTCTATCTGTAGTTCAGACTTTTTTTTTTTTTTTAAAAAAAAGGGATGCTAATTTTGTGAATAAGCTATGATTCAGTTAAAAGGGATATTTACAGTTATAAGGTCTAATTTACAATTTGTTAAAAAGTATTTATTGACTCTGAATTTAAAGTTTCCATTATTTTTAACTAACTGGATAGAGGGTAATGCCAAATCTACTGAGGGCCATCTCTAATACATGGGTTCCTGCAGGCTACATTTTTAAATAACTTGTTTTAACTTCTGTTGAACATAAGAGTGCTTGCTATAAGCAAAAAAAGTTTTTTAAAAATGATTCATTCAGGCAAGTTCTACTGTATTTAAAGCAAGTCTGCTTACAACCTCTGCTGCAATGCTTATTTGAATAAAAAGGAAAAGCCAGACAATCTAACTATCTATTAAAGAAAGTATATATAAGTGAACTATAGAGCAATTTAAAGTGCTTCTGAATGCCACCCTATATTTTTGAAGTGTTATTCACTGATATTTCCAAAGATGGGGGGTGAAGTCTTAATTGTGAAAGGCAGCAAAACGCGCTTCCCTTCTAGCACCAATCTAAAATATTTTAAATAACTTGCAGAAAATCAGTAGCGGACGAAAAATTTTTCAAGCAATTGCCCAAGAACTTCAGAAGCAGAGGTATGCTGAACATTGCCAACAGCCTGTAAGTAATGCAAAAAAGGTATGGCAAAACTGAGTGCATGTCTACTGATACTGAAATACGCAACGAAAGAACGGACAATTTTGAAGAGCATCTCATTTGTATCTCCTCTGGAAGTAGATTTCTCTCTCTAAGTTGAGAAAGCTCTACAGAATATTCTGCACAGTAGTGTGAGACAAACCCATGTCCCAGAAGAGAGAGTGGAGGGAGAAGCACACAAGCATTTTCACACATTCCCGAGCATTGCAGCACAGATTACAGCATTCAAATGCAGTGTGTGTTCTATTTGCTTTCAGTCACTGCTGCACATTATTATGTAACTGCACATTACTAAGTGCTGAGGGGCACATCCTCTCCCCTCCTGCTTGCAGTTCTTGGAGCTCTCAGACACTTTTGCAGAGCAGTAGGGACCAGGCTCCTCCTCATCTACTCAATACATTGCAGACATGATGCATTTGACTGATAGCTAAGATCAGATTCAGTCCCCAATCAACAGCAGCTCTCATTTTCTTGGACATGCAATATTTTGAATGTCAGCAACACTAGAACTGAGATCTCTGTGTTGCCTGGAAATAAAAATTCTTTCCTCCACAAGGAGCCTAAAAGTCTAAAATTCTGGGCCTCAAGCTAGGCATCCCTTTTCAGGGAGAAAAGACAAAAAATACAAAGCAGAGACAGAGGTTATAATGCTTTGTATATATACACGTGTCTATTTATATTTCTCTATGAACACACACACACATATATATATATATACACACACACACAAGAACACACACACACATATATATATATATACACACACACACAAACACACACACAAGACAGATGTATATACATAGACACAAACTGAATTTTCCTTGTATTTATAATTTGCCAAGAGGAGGCTTCAACAAGTTGCCTGGATTATTTGATTAAAAGGAATAAAGCTCCAATAAGAGCTCACTCTTGGAAATACATTACCATCTTAGTTTCTCTCACTCCCTTACCCTGTGGTAGTTATATGACAGCCATAACAAAACTGTTTCAAAAGCTCTACAACATTCTTAAAATTACTTGCTCCCCCTTTCAACTTAATATAATGTAAACTAAGTGTTCAACATCACTGAATAAAGCCACACAATTTATCTCATCATTCCAAATCTATGTCAGTAAGACTTATGACTACATGGTTGTGCATATACCATGCAAGTTACGGACAACTTGGAAGCCCCAAGTATTTGTAAGAGAAGAAAATGGCTTCAAAAATTGCTTTATGTGAAGCAATACAAATTCTTTCCTACTCTAAACATTTACCACACCATTTCAGAGATGCAATGAGGAGAAAAGAAACTTGCAACTCAAAGTCAGATGCTTCTCCCTTACACAGTTTGGCTTTATTTATTCCTATATTGCTCCAAATGGTTCCTCTGTAAGAACTTCTTTAAAGACTTCAAATCCCTGCTGACATGACTGGTCCTTGTTTTGACTCTCACCAACAGACTGAAAATAATTGGTATGTTTTATTGAGCTCCCTAGAGATTTGGGAAAGGTAAAAGGAAAAGAAAAAAGTTTAGAAACCTGCAGATGCCACACAGACAACTATCCATCTGGACAAAGAGGGAGGGAAAGGAGTCTACTGAAACAGTAAAGGGAGGAAGTTAAAGCTGGTATCAATAACTAACTGCTTCTACTATTTTCCCTCACAGGATCATTTGGAAGATGACACTGTTTATCAGAACAGATGAGTATGTGCTATAGCTCAGATATGCCAAATATTTCTCATGTAACTGAAGAGGCAGATAAAGAAGTAAACCTTCTTCACAGACTTTGCTTTAACAGGAAAATAGAATCCCAAAGAGCATATTATAAACATATCCAAACTAACCATATGGAACATTACACTGTCAAACATCCTTCTCTCTCTCTGCAAGGATGAAAACAGTGGAAAACGACTTTACATTTTGTAAGAGAAATGCTTTGGAAAAGTTTTGAGTTTAATTTTACATGCCTACATATATATATATATATATATATATATGTATATATAAGGTTTACAAGTTTACATCTGTTTCTTTTACATGAATTCTCAATCATTCTGTGAACTGAGCATTGGTGAAAAGTGCATGACAATTGACAGCAATACAAAATAAACTAATTCTCTAGGAGAAATCCTGTTCTCAGTTATGTTAATGGTGACAGTATTGGTGTATGGATCCTCAGATTAGCAGTTACCAAGTCTTACTGTAGCACAAACAAGCAAAATATACATATTCTGCAGACAGCCAAGCAGAAAACATAGACACTATGAATTAGCTTTGCTATAATAGTACATGCCTTTGGAACAAAAGCTTCTTCCTAGACTATTTAGAAAGGAAACATAGCGGTCAAAGAGATAAATTTGCTCCTGCAGTATTAAAATTGACTTGCTAGACAGAAAACCTCCTTCCAATTCTACTACCCAAAGCCAGGAGTACCTGGAACACCATGTTTGTTTTGTGGGCCTGTATAAAACAAACAAAAGCACAAACACAGAAGTACACTTAAAATTGCACTTAGCTAAGCTACCAAACCAACAGTTTTACAAGAGATGTGTGGATCTCTGACATTCTCCCTACTAAAGGATGGCTAAAAGACAAAAAGCACCTTCACCTTCTTTCCCTCAGTCAGTCACACAGACAGTGTGTTCATCACATCATAAACCCAGGTTGCTAATGTTTATTTCTTCTCAAGTATGGTATCTCTAGAATTAACTTAAACTTAAGCCACTCTAGTCATGTACTACCTAAGTATGTTATCCTAATATCACATCCGTATTAGGAAGTTCAAAGTTTTTCTAAATCATGTTATGAGATACCTACTAAAAATAAAACTACTTGAATAATAATTTAAATACACTATGATTCATCTGCTTACTTGTCAACTTTAGGAAGTCCATTAATTGTTCTCTATATTGAAAATAAAAACCCTAAATTGTCCCAGAAAGAAAGTATGACTAAGCTACTTGGGCCTCTAGGTGTCACTGTAATTCCAGAAACAGTAAGCACAAAAATAACTCCCTGCTCCTCCACCTTGCTTTGTTTTCTGAGCATGGATTTTGTGCTGTTCACATAGGCAGTTTCCATATTCCTCTATTATATTAAATACAATGATGCAAATCTCTCAAGTTGTTTTAATTAAAGCATATTTTTAAACTGTAGATATAGAAACTGATCCATATGCTGATCAAACATCTTACCTCTCTCCTCATCACCTCTCAATTTCTCCAGTTCTTGTCCACCCCCCCCACCCCCCACCATACACACTAAAATTAAAAAGCTTTTCTAGGTGGGTTTATGTTGTTTTGATTTGGATGATACAAGGAATTATCAGGCCTATATTCTTCGCTGAATGTTCCAGGTATTATTTTCCCATATATAAAGCACATATATCAAACACTTTTTAGTGCATTATCCTGCAGAACAACTGAATGAAATATTTAAATTCTAAAATTGTTTGTAAATCAGGAAGACAGTCCAGCAGATCAGTGCATGTTTCTTTAGACTACAGTTGAGTAAAGCTCAAGAGAGAAAACTCTACTGGAATGACAGTATCTTTTGTGTGTGTTAATGTGTATTGTTTATGCAGGCCCACATCCATGACAGAAGTAAACAGATATACTGAATACATTTAAAGTTTCAGTAAATATTTGCTACCTGGAACAATCTCAGCAGACAGAGGTTTAAGTCATTCTGTGCTACCTTTCAGGCCACAGGAAAACCACAAAAGCCATTACTGTCCTGTTTGAGACAGGAAATAAAGCTACCTAAAACAAAATGATTCATCTGCTAGAAGCTGCCAGCACAAACCAAAGCACGACTCTGGTTTACAAAATGTCCTACAAGAGATACCTGCTTTCCTTAAGTCAGAAGGACATGAAGTTCAAAAGTTGGACAGGTTTCCAAACCTTTGGGATACAGCAGGAGATTAATGATGAACATAAATGAACTCATACTGGTTTCTTCCTTCATTTATCCACCTCTGGTTGAGCCAGGATCTACCACATGGTTATCCAACATTATGCAAAAAAGTAGATTGTGGACACAATAACGATTGCAAGATAAAAACCTTTTTTCTCTCCATTCATTCAAAGGAGCACAAAATGCAATATATTTTGATGAATTTATCATTTCCAGGATGTTAAGCTTATTTGTGTTTTATTTTTTGGACATGCCTTTCCATTAACAACCTTTAAGACTCAAGGAGAGTAAGAGGCTGCAATGTTCAAACAGTGAGTGATGAGCACTAGCCCTCTGGAAATCAATCCACCTTTACAGCGGATTCAACCACTTGAGTGGAGACTCAACCTGAATCCGAAATATCACAGGCACCTGAGAAAAAGTTGCTAGTCTCTCTTAGTCACGAGCAAGGAGATTTTCAAATTAAATTCCAGGTATTTCCTTAAAATGCAACTACAGGAAATAAGAGTTTGGTGCATAAAAGTTCTTCCAGTTACTAACGAAAATAACAGTTGATATTTTATATTAGTAGAAGCCTATATTTTCCTTTCAAAGCTCATGTTGGATAGTGACAGCGAACATTACCTCCCTAAGAATTTTTAAGTGCAGTTGCTTTGCCTATAATTTCTTTTGAGCATGAGCACTACAAGATCTTTTTAAAACCAAAAATATGAATTAAATCAAACATTTAATTCCAAATATTGTAATGTACAACCTTTCTTCATTTAAATATCTGTTAACCTGTGTACTTACCATTTTCCACATATGGATGGAATGGCAGAACTAATGCTAGAATGACTCTGCCTCTAGTTGGCTCCAATACACTTCTAATATCCTTTAATACAGTCAATGGTTGATCACAGCGATCAAGCAAATTCAAACAGCTGATAACATCATACTGAAATCCTGTGTTCTGCCATTCATTTATACCGAGTACTCTGAAAAGGGAGAGATACAGAAGATGTTAGACACAAGCTCAGTTCAGAGAGAACAACCAAGGATGAAAATTCCTTACAGACATGTTGATAGTGCAGGTAAGGTCAGCCACTTTAGGCAAGTAGAATAGATGTGTTCTTCCCATTCTTTTGGAAAAGAAAATTAATGGACAATAGGTGTAGCTATATGTTCAGCCACATAAGCCTTTCAATTCGGATACTCCTTATAATCATCAAGCAGTAAAGAAAGCAAAAAATGAAGTCTCAAATACCAGAAAAATATTTTCTTATAATAAAACTAAATACATTTTTCAGGGAACAACAGAGCTGAAATAGCACAGTTAACGGCTTGCTTGATTTAATCTGCGTAAAACCAGTTGCTGTCAGATTTCCACCCAAGGACAGGTGAAAAGAAATTCATAGTTCTTTTGTTCTTTGGGCTGAAGTTTAGGGAATGATATCCCAAACATTAACCATTACTCAACATGACCAACACATGAACAGAGTTCTCAAAGTGCTGAGGTTTTTGTTACTAAATACTTGTTAAGCTTAACAACAGGAGCTAAGCATACCAGAAATAAAAGATTCTTTACACAGTTATCTATGACACTTTCTTTACCTAAAGAAAAGATAAAGGCACATTACCCCCACATATCTACTACCAGGAATCAGTTTGTTTTCCCTCCAGTGTCTGCATCTTTCTCCCGCAATTTGGACTGTTCATTTATCAGCATCTAAACTTTATCTCCTGAATGTCTTGATTAAAGCAATTTATGCACGCTATGAAGGGAGACTTTAAAACAGTTGTTCCATATTTTGTCTTAACTGGTAACAGGGAACATCAGCATAACATAACAGGTAATGATAGCAGGTAATGTCAGATGTGTTTGCTTTCATGTTTTTGTACACATCAAGCCTTTCCATAATCCCCAAACAACAAAGGCATCAACATAATAAGTGAATACACTGAACAGTTATAATACATTAGAGATGGATTATTTTGCAGTAATGACTGACGTAATGGATGCAAGAACTATTCCATGCAATACCTGTATTTCTTTTTCTGAAGCTGCCATATCATAGTTTCAGACAATTCAGTGGCATAGATTTCTTCAAAGTGAGGACTCATGACTTTAGTGACCTCTCCATCCCCAGCTCCTAAATCAAGAAGTCTGTGGGATTTCCATTCTGGATTTATTTTAAGCAGTCTTTGAAATTGTTCTGGGGAAAACACAAACATTGAGCCCCTTCCCAGCAGCCTGTAATGTAAAGATGAGAAACATGCATTTTTTTTTAATTAACAAAAAGGACAATGAAATGATTTAGAGTGTGTTTTGGCAGCAACCAGTCACATAATAGACAAGGTCCCTGCTTCAATAAATTTTAAATCCAGTTCAACTTGCTTTTCATTTGTCAGAGATCAAACAGAGCTACATGCAGTTTTACTGGTTCAGACTTCAGGAAGAATTTGATTAGGAAGGGAAGAGCTCATGGGGTGCAGCTCAACAGAATGATCACATTAAAAAAAAAAAAAAAAGGAGAGAGGAAAAGGCTGAGACTTTTTCCAATTGCAAATTTGAATCTCTCCCATTTGTCTTAAATCAACAACAAAAACACAAACAAAAAATAGCAAAATGGCTGCAAAGATAGTCTTAATTCTTTGTGCTTACTTCTATGATGTGCAACAGGAAGGGAAACCATACAAGAAATGTAAAGAAACATTGGGGCAACACTACTGAAGTGGCAAAAGAGAAAGGATTTAGTAATTATATGCTACAATGGCTTTTGCTGCTATCTGCAGATTCTGTATTGATCAGGAAGAGCTATGGAATAGAAAACAGGCAACTCATTAATAAATTGGGCAGGTGACAGTTGGATTCCATATGGACTAAGTCAGGAAAAAAAAAACAGAAAAGAAAAACATACCTGCTTGTTTGAAGAATGCCTATTTACAGATTTCAGCTGTCATAGCAGAAATTCAAAAGATGAAAGAGTTCAAACAAGCAGACAAAAAGAACCAATGAGTGATAAATCGAAGGTAGATAAGTGCTATTCCTTTAAACTACTGTTGGATAGAAGGTTAAATTTAAGAAAGACAAAACAGAAATCAAGAAAACAAAGCAAAGATAAAAGAATCAAAGAAGTAAAAAGGGCCCAAAAAGGATTAACTTCACAAAACAAACAAAAATAGAAGCTATAGCAGGATGTTAAATATAGAAAAATAAATAAAGTACAGCCAATTTAAGTAGAGCCCCCTTGCAGCACACTTGTGTCAGTCCACACTGTGTAATTGGCTCATGGCTATTATTCCTAACAGCACTATGAGGGGTTATTCAAAGCACTGGAGAGCCTTTGAGGGGGAAAAAAAAAAAAAAAAAAAAAAAGAGGTGGGGAGAAGAGGAAGAAGAGGAGACCAAAGAGACTTTTATATAAAGCTACAAGTAACTAAGAACACCACAGGGAAGCTCATAAAGACATCTGGCTAGAAAATAAGGAGAAAGATTATTCTCCTAGCCTTAGTAGCCAGTTACTGTCCTCAAATCAGACTATGTGTGGGTGCAGGGAGAAAGGGAAGGCAGGAAAAAAAAATCAAGTAAACGTAAAAGGAAAAAAAAGTGTATTCAAAAGTGGTAAGAAGTTAAACATATGACTGAGTGGAGAGAAAGGCGAGGGGAGGTCTTTTGACTTATTGGAAAAAAATATTACAGCATACAGCTAACTTCTCTGCAGCCAATCATAGAAGAGCCTGATGCAATAAGATTAAGAAAACAACGTTAAATGAACTTCTCTATTCCTGTTTTCCTCAGGTTTCACCACATCAGAATGTACTTGTTTAAGTATAGCTTATGCAAATTGAGATGGAATTACTTTTTAAATAGAAGAAGAAGGGGCAGAATACTTGCATGCTACACAAGTATTGCTAGACAACACTCAGCAACTTCTGCTCTGATTAGGGATCTGCCTTTTTCTGCAGGGCAAATCAATACCCTCCACGTAGAACAAACACAACATTACCTATTGCTGTATCCTTAAGAGTTAATGTAAGAGGTAAAGGGGAAAGAAAATAAAGGAAAAAAAGAAAAGAGGAAGGAAAAGGATACCTAGCACTGATAGAATCCAATTCTAGGGAACACCTGGAAAGGAGTTAATACAAGTAACGGTTATAAAATACAATTACAGTCCTCTGACCATCTCTTGTTAACTGCTATTACCTCCTCTGCTCCCTTCCCATTCTGGCAATTGTGATCTTTAATTAAGAGGGTTGGGAAAGATTTCAGGTCTGCTTGAACTGGCAAAGGGAAATCTGTAAAAATCTTTTAAAAAAAATGAAAAAAAAAATCAAGAAGGACAATCGAACACTCGAAAAAAAGATTCTAAGTTTAAAATATATATATAGTTTACCTAAGATTTACTTTTCACTTACCCATTGATAGATGTCCTAGACATAAAAAGGCTAAAAATTGAGGACACAAAAGAGTGATAGAGCTGGATGAAGAGCCAGCCTGATTTCTCAATGCTGTTGTTTAAGAAGATCTGTGTTCCTTGGTCGAGGTAACTCTGGACAAAGACAGGCTGAAGGGATTCAGACAACTGTTCGGTGTTGCAGACATACCACTACAGAAAGAGACGAAGAAACATTAGAAGTTCAGTAATATAAAAACAGAAGTAGTTAAAAAATTACACCCACAGAGGGCTATCATCAAGTCGTTCTATAAATATCAAAATTCAGCTTTCCCTAAAGATTTTCAAACAAACTTCAAAACTGACTTAAATAACTTCAGTTGTAATCAAAAAAGGCATATTACTTAGAAATAATATTCAAAATTTTTGTCTTAACCATTACTTGGTACTTTGAAGAATTTTGCAGAGTAGCTTTCCTAGAAAGCAAGCACAGGTCCAGTATGGAACAGCACCATTCTGCTAAAAGAGTATAAAGCAGGTAGCATTGTTTTCTGTTTTACAACTCTCAGCATTTCACTAGGCATCCTCTGAAAAGAGAGCACGAAGTGCATTGGCAGTAGCTTTCTAGGAAAGGAGATAAGGAATCCAATCAACACTCTAAGCAACTGCTTGCCTGTCCTGCAGCGCTGATGGACAGCACTTCTGCATGTGCTAGTGCCAACAAGCAGGTTGACAGAGTCTTTCAAAGCAGTTATTCCCATTTAGCAGCGATGATGTGAGGAAGCTGCATAAACAAGCAGGCCCCCGCATCACCCAAGAAGTCTCCAGTAGCAATCTGGACACTTTTATCTTTCTAGACAAGGCAAAACGGGCTAGTGGTTCCTTTTTACTTTGTATTACCCGGCAAACTAGTTCTGATTGACATGCTATTATTCAGCTAGTTCTGAAGAAAAGGGATGCTCCTACTTTTCAAACAAGATTTGATAAGAAAAGTAGTAAAACTACCTGCTGATGTTTTGCTATTTGTTTGCAAACTATAGCTCCTCTAACCCCTACTGCATTTACATGATTTTAAATTCAAGAAATTGTGCAAAAACAGACAGACCTATAGAAATGTTGAGACACTAAAATGCCAGTGCTGACTGAAAGCTCAAAAGGCTGCTCACTGCTAGTGTGTGATGCCAGACTTAGTTCCACCCCCTGACACTCAACAGGTAGATGTTTCAATCATCATTTAACTATAATTTTAATTAAGAATATCACTATTTTTTCCTCAGTGTCTTCACCCCTTATGCAGAATTACTGATGGCTCTCCCTGCAGATACCCTAATGCCATTGAGTTTTTTTTTCTAATATTCTATTGCAGATTTGAATCTCTTCCTGAAGAGAATTATTGTCCATAGCCCAAATCCTCTTCTGCTATCTTCCCCTTGCATCTTGCAAGCGTGCTCTCCAATGTGGCCTCACGCATTTACAGCACAGAGAATGACAGGTATTTTAAAGAGAAGTGGAGGGTTTTAACAGAATCTTATAAAAACTGCAGAAGGAGAGCAAGAGATCAGCTGGAATAAGTGCACAATGTTAAAAAAAAAATCCAATAAAATTTTGTCTATAGCCATGCTACACAAAACATGCTCGCATCTTGGTGCCTACATGTTTGTTGTTACTTGCTGGGAGGGGAAGTCACTTAATGATTGTTTACACAGCATTCAGCGCAATGGGACTCCCAGTCAATACACTAACAGGAAAAACAATAGCACTGAATTCTTATTCCAGCATCCCGAAGCTTCACAGTAATGGTGCCAGCAAGCAAAGCGAGCAGAAACCTGCAACAATATCACCGTGCCAGATTCACAAATGGGGCTCCACCAAACAGACCCAGAGCACCAAGGCATTTCAATACCCTTCAGCAGGGGAAGCAGTTACATGCCTATACAGGGCTAGTTTGAAAGCTTGATGTTTGTCAGGTACTTCCCTGCAGAACTGGGCTCTCAGCAGTGCTCTCAACAGCATTTGTCAGCACTGTAAGTAGATCCAATCCTCTGAAAACTAGACTTCAAGGAAGGCTGTATCACAACGCAGCACGGTAATCTCCATGACCACCCATTTCCCAGCTTGGGTCTTCTCTTTGCCATGGCCCGGTGAGAAGCGAGCGGATAGGCACAAAGCAGCAATTCCCAAAAGGAATTCCTCACAGAGACGCAAAAAAAAAGACTTAAAGCGGTAGCTGTGCCTGTGTATTTTGTTCACTCATCTCTAGAAAGCGGTTTCAAGAGGCCAGCAGAGCTGAACCGTCCTGGGGAGCCAAAGGGCAGGCAGGGACACGGGCCCAGGTCAGCAGCTGTTCACGAGGCTGCCGCCTCATGCACCGGACAGGCTCGGAGGGGTCAGATGTACCTTGCGCTGCCATTTTCAATCCCAAAGCCGGTGAATTAAGTATCCAAAGTTTAGGAATCACAGGCTTCGATCTGCAACTAGCATTACTACACGCATGGTGTCCACGAGCTTATTCATAAGCCTTAGCTGTATAACCCAATTCTATCACCTGTCCTTCCAGGATCTAACCATGGAAATCAACTGTCCTACAGCTCGTCTTCAAGATTTTCAAATATTGATATACACGGATATAACCAGTGGCAGACAACAGTTGTCATTGCCAGTGACAGCTTTAGGAAAAGCATATTTCCAGAAGCCAGGCACTGTTCCTAGCCCTCCTCCTCCTTCTCCAGGGTTAAGCTTGCCCTACATAAGGTCAGTTAAAATACTCATAACTGCCAATGTTAGTGTATATTAGAAATGACAACAATCTATATTAAAAAAAACAGTATTTAAACTATATATATAACAAATATATATTTTCAAAGTACAAAAGCAGGGAAAGAAAGCTTAATTCTGAAACTATTTCCTTAAAACAGGAATTCCTTTCCTTTTCCTCCTTGTCCAATAAGCAAGGAGCCCTTTCCTGGCCACTAGTCCCACAATATTAGTTGGCATCAATCTGGCACAGCAAAACAGTAGAAACACCACAGCACATCAAAGAAATCTGAGGAGAAATTTGTGCAGACTTTGTTTATAATAAAGATTATTACTTGCAAACCTTGCCTAATATTAACAAAAGGAAGAACATGGCATTTCAGCTGACTTGTGCCAAACTAAGTAAGTCAGTAAAACTTCAGAAAACACCAGTCCCAGGGGCTCACCACACAGCCCTTACTTGAGTATAGGTATAACCCAACAACGGAGGAACGAAAGACACTTCAAGTATATTTAATACACGTGAAGGATCAGAGAATCCCACACGAGATACGTGGAGCACCCCCTGCAGACCCGCTACCTGCGAGTGGAACCACGCTCTCCCCACTCTTATCTCCACATCCTTCTAGCCAGGTTTTTGACACCAGCGGAAAAAAAATCGCGGGTTTTCTTTGTTCACAGGAGTAAAGTTCTTGCTGTAAAGCCAAACACTGCCCCTGTCACCGCCTCTAAGCGCGGCGGCATCGCACTCGCTCAGCGCAAGTCCCCGGTGCCGGCAGCCGCCCTGAGCACTAACAAAGCTGGGACAGGGCAGCACCAGCTGGGAGAGCCGCGGCGCGCAGTTAATCGCTTTGTGCGACGCGCCTCGTCGACTCACGCTGCCTTTT